CCCCCGCCGCTTCCCGTCAAGCAGGCGGTGCCGCTCGGCCGTTTGCGTCGCTTCCCGACCTCCGGCCCCTCTCGGGCCACCCCTAGGGTGCGCGGTTGGCCGCGAACTATTTTACTTCACGGCGGCGCCTCACCGGCCGGACCTATCAGGGAGCGCTCCGCGCGGGGCCATCTGCGAGCCGCCAGAACAAAAACAAGGGGGCGGGGCCGCGCCGCCTCCATTTTGATGCGGGGCTGGGGCGGAGGCGGCGGCGGCAGGGGGCCGGGGATGGTGCCGCTGCCTCGGGCATCGCCGTGACTCGCTGGGGGAGGCGAGCAGGGCTCGGCCGCGGGCGGGGGGACGCAGGCGGCCCTGCCTGGATGCGGGGCCAGCGGCGGAGCCGACCCGCGTCGGTGCGGTGAGGGGAGCCGGGCTCGCCTCCCCCCCCCCCCCGGTTTACCACGGGGGGAATGGGGGGGTGGGGGCCCGGGGGGGGGGCCCGGTGCCCCCTCACCACCGCCCCCGGTGAGTGTACCGGCAGGGCTGGGCTTGCCCCCTTGTCGGGTCCCTTTGTTCGTTTTCCCGGTGCTGTGAGGAGGTTGCGAGGCCTCAGGCGGGGGGGGGGCGGCAGGCGCCCGGCTGCCTTTGTCCGGCGGGGTCGGGGGTGGTGTGTGGTGTGATGGCGGCGGGGGGGGCGGGCTGCCAGCTGTTGACGAGGTGTGCCTGCCCTGAAGGGAACGGATCCGGAGTTGGGGGAGAAGATGAGCAGCGAGGCGTTGTGGCTTTTCAAGCAGCTGAACTTCCACCTGGAGCAGGAGGGGCGGTTTCAGCCCCGCGAGAAGGGGCTCAGCCTCATCGAGGGGGCCGCCGAGGTGAGGGGGGGCGGGGAGCTGGGCTGGGGTGGGCAGCGAGGGAGGAGGCAGTCTCCTCAGGGCAGGCAATAACGTGTTTTAAAAAAAGAAACCTCCGAGCTGGGAGACGTGCGTTAACTCCGAAAAGTTAATTTGCTTCCCTGTAAAGGCCACTTGCCTTGTCTTTTAACTCTACCTTAATCTGTAGTTACTAACATAGACTACATTATCAAAGGACTATGACCTACAGGGCAAGTAAAATATTTAGGCGTTTATTATTTATTGTTTAAACTTCGAGTGAACGCAGAACTAAAAGAAGTGTATTATTTCACCTCCGGAGCTTCATACCGCTGTGTTGTACCGCTGCGGGAAAGCGGGGATGTCTAGTGGGCAATTAACAAATGGGGAAACGGCTAGCTTTTCATTAGCAAGGTCTAGGGAAATGAAGCTAGAAACACTCAGGGCTTAACAGTAAAAAATAAATTAAGCATAAACGTTTCTACCTTAACGATCGGAGTTCCTTACTGAGTTTAGGGCAGGCTTCGGGTGCTCGTGAGTTTTTTTGGAAAGGGCCTTAATGCTTAACAAACAAAGTTCCTGAAATCAGTCTGCTTGTTTGTTTTGAAAGCAGAACATCTGTTGCTTAAATATTGACATGCATGCAGAGAGGAGAATAAGTTGAGTTAGGTCATATCTCTTTCCGTAAGGTCAGGAGTCATTGTGTATGTATGTGCTTTGTAACTATTGTCTTAAAATAACAAGTGGGTACTGGGAAATGTGGTTGTGCTGGGTATTGCACCGGTGAGACTCAGGATCTGGGTGTAATCCATGTACCTTGGGTGTGTTTTGAGTCTCAAGTATCTAAATTTATTTTTTTTAACTTAAGAGGAAGTATGTAAGGAATAAATAATTGCTTCCTTTTGATCTAAGTAGAAGTAACTTAGGGAGTGAGTGGTCACAGTTATCACTGCTGCCACTGAATAATTCTGACTTTGTTTCTCTTGCCATAGAATGAAAATACTCTGTGTCCAAGACAAAGGAATGCCAAGGTGGAAGATCTTTGGAGTCTGACCAACTTTTTTGGTTTTGCAACTGAAACGTTTGTTTTGGCTGTTAACATTCTGGACAGATTCTTGGCTCTTATGAAGGTATTTTGGGGGGAGAGGACTTGCTATCTATAGTGTCACCTGGGAATACATTAGCTTCTTGTGAGCTTTCTTGTCTGACAAAAAGGGGAAGATTGTGATCTAGGATGTAACTGTGGCTATTTACCGATTCTATGCTAGCAATGTTTCTGAAGTCCTCCTTTGTAAACCTGAAATTGAGTACAGTTCTTTATGCCTCTAAAGACAAGTAGCAACATGGTTTATTTCCTCTAATAAGTTTGTAGCCTTCACCAGGTAGATGTAGAAGACTAAGAACAGAGGAATTAGAGAGCGAACAAAGAAAATTGTGTTGCAGCCTGTTTCTAGGTACTGTGTTAAAGCTGCTGGAACTAATACCAAACAATCATTTCCTGGATGTTTTTCTTTTCGTATTTCTGCTGCTTTATGGCAGACAGTTTGAACCTAAACCAGTTCTCCATTGTTAAGTTGGCAGAAAAAGTAAAGTTACATCAGTTCTCTGGTCTGACTGTCCTTGAGGTTGCACGAAATGTTACGCTGTTCCATGGGAGAGAATAGCAGAGGTAGGAGCAAGTTGTGGAGGGATAGGACTGCCTGAAACAGGCTCAGGCCGGATTTGAATAGACTTGAAATGAGGGTGAATGAGCACTGCCGCTTGGAGAAGCTGGGTATTACAGTTCTCACTGCAATTAATTTATTGTGTAGTGATGTGGAACAATTTCAATAGAGGGTGCTCAGCTGTCGAACTTGACTTTGACTTGGCTATGGCAGATTGATACTGCTTTATTGGCTCTGCCAGGTGTATTTTCTTAAACTTGAGTGATGAAACTAGTTATGACTAGATGAGGTGTATGAGTTGACTGACATCAGGTCTAGTTGAGAAAAGCAAATCTCTTTCGATGGAACTATGAATATTCAAAACAGCTCACCTAGGCTGGGTGAGCTGTTGGTGTTGCTGTTTGTTAAGCATGGTGTTTCGGGGGGGGGAGTATTCATAGTGCTTCCTTGTATTTTTAGGTGAAACCGAAGCATTTATCTTGCATTGGAGTTTGTTGTTTCCAGTTGGCTGCCCGAGTAGTCGAAGAAGAATGCAATATTCCATCTGCTCATGAGATCATCCGGATCAGCCAATGTAAATGCACTGTGTCTGACCTGAAACGGATGGAAAAGATAATTTCAGAAAAGTTGCACTTTGAATTTAAAGCTACTACTGCCTTAACCTTCTTGCACTTGTACCATACTATTGTACTCTGTCATACCTCAGAAAGGTGAGTTGAGTTGCATGTTAGTGGTGGTCTATGTGTTTGCTAAGCCCTTTTTATCTTCATTTGCCTTTTAAATGATTATGGCATTGGCTGTAGAGGAGGCAGCTCCTTAGTTTTTACCTCCTGACAAGTGAATGCTTGTCAATAAACATGCGTTTCTCTTGGGTGTCTTACAGGAAAGAAGTATTGAATCTTGACAAATTGGAAGCACAGCTAAAAGCTTGCAACTGCCGTCTTGTCTTTTCTAAAGCAAAAGTAAGTAGAAGTAGCTTTCTTTGACTTCTGAATAGGTTTTGGTTCATGTTATGTTGAGCGGTGTTTTTTGTCCTTCTAGCCCTCTGTCTTGGCCTTGTGCCTTCTCACTCTAGAAGTCCAGACTTTGAAATCTGTTGAGCTGTTTGAGATCCTTCTGCGTGTTCAAAAGCATTCTAAGGTAAATATTTTCTGTGGATTGTTTTTGCAGTTGTTGGGACTGGTGCAGTTAATGATGTACAAGGTTACATTTAAGGGGCCCCTGCTGTCAGTATACAATCTTCACAGGTACTGTTTGGCATCAGCTGAAACAAGCAATGAAAGGGGTCTTTAAGCATCTGTCTGCAACTCTTGTAACTTATCACTGTTTCATTGGTAGAATGCCAAATGCAAAAAAACTGGTTACTTAGAGAATGGGGTCGGGTAGTCATTTTGCACTGGCACATCTTGGCAGCTGCCTGGCGAGCCAAAGGATTATGGTTTAAAAAAAACTATCTTAAACGTAGAAAATCAGAAGAAATGCTGACCTAATGCCTACACAATACATGCTTTAACAAACACCTGATTTAACTTGTACAGTTCTAGCTGTATGTTCTAGAGAAACTTGCAGTTGGTTCGTAGGACTACAATGACTGCTGGGCTGGTTATTCTTTTTGTCTGAATAACTTAATACTGGATTTTTTAGCTGCTAGCTGCATGCTATATCAGTTGATGCTCTAGAACAAGCTTTTCACTCTCATAGTCAAATTCAACTAATTCAGTTTCTTGAGGGGTAGACATAGTTCCTTAAAGTATGAGATTATTCTATTTTAAAATAGAATAATCTCGGTTTCACTTTTCCTTTGGAAGTGATAATGAAAATGTTAACAGCAACTGACAGGCAAACTGTCAACTCAAACTTCAATGTGGACATTTCTAGGAGGTGTATAGGAGTTCATCTTCAAAAGTAGCCCTACTGTGACAAAGGTATCACAGTGATGACTCACTTGTATTTTGACTGATGCTTTTTCAAGTCTTTTCTGAGAAGGTAAAGTAGAGGGAGGGGTTATCTTTAGAGCCTGTGTGTAATAGACTAAATAGGTTCATTTTTTGCTTCTCAGATAAGTGATAGTGACCTACTTTACTGGAGGGAGCTGGTCTCGAAATGCCTAGCAGAATATTCTTCTCCTGAATGTTGCAAGCCCGATCATAAAAAACTAGTTTGGATTGTTTCAAGACGTACAGCCCAGAACCTACAAAACAGTTACTACAGTGTTCCTGAGTTGCCAACGATACCAGAGGGTGGATGTTTCAATGAAAGCGAGAGGTTGGTAAAACTTACACCAGGTGGTTAATTTGTTGGGAATTCTCATTTTATGGAAAAGTTAATGTCAACTCTGTATAACTAGGCTAATTCACTACTACTTGGAAAAAAAAAATCCGCTAGCTTTGAAAATACTGAACATCTTAAATAGAAGGAAAAAAAAAGGGGAACTGTCACTGTGGTGTTCAAAAAGTACAAGTGCTTTGCGGGGCGGATGGGGGAGACTATCCTTTTTTTTTTTTAAGGCAGGGAGGCTTATAAAGCATTTAAGTCTTAAGTAATTTATGTTTGATATCTTGAATGCTGGCTTCTTGGTTGGTAGGAGATTTTTGGCATTAGAAGTAAGGAAATTGTGCCTTATGATTTAAGCTTTAGTGTTGAGAAGTGTTTAGATCTGGGATGTTATACTGGGAACAGAGAAGTGTGCAAGAAAACACGGGATTGAGGAATTGCCACCTTCAAGGGGTTGTGCTTTGTTTAAATTACATTTCCTGCTGTTCTTTCCTAGTGAAGACTCCTGTGAAGATATGAGCAGTGGAGAAGAAAGCCTTAGCAGTTCTCCTCCGAGTGATCTGGAAGGCACCTTCTTCTTTGAACTCAAACCTAAAACAAAATGGCAAGCTCTTAGCTGTCGGTCATAGCGTTAAGTCTTGATTGTATTAGGTTCAGGTTACTAATGCACCATGGAGTCTTTTGGCAATAATGAGGTGGTAATCTGTAAACTGTATTAATGCAAGAATTGCTGTGGTATATCAATGCTTTGAATGCCTGCCTTGGTTTTTTTTGTTGTTGTAATTCTAAGGAACTAAAAAAAATCACGTTCAGGTCCCCAGTTCAGCAAAAAAGTTCATGTATAGTTCTGTTGTTAACAAGCATAAATGTAGTCCTGTACCTGGTGGTCCAAAATGCTTAGCAGCTAAACACATTAGCAGTGTGCCCTGGCAGCAATGAAGGCTGATGGCGTACTGGGCTGTGTTAACAGGAGCATAGCTGATAGATTGAGGGAAGTAGGGTTTTTTTCCTCCTGCTATTTGGCGTTCATTCTCATCTGCAACAGCGTCCAGTTTTGGGCTCAAGGCGTTGATCAGCTTGTGCAAGTCCACCAGGAAGCTGCCAAGATGGTTAAGGGTTTTGGGGCACAGGACCTGTGAGGAGAGGTTAAGCGAAATGAGCTTATTCAGTGGCAAAGTGGCCTTTGGGGGGAAAATGGAATGGAACCAGCAGCCTTTTGGTACCTAAGAGGAGGTTGCTGAGGAGGAGGTGATTTCAAGGTTTTGTTTGAGAAGCATGGAGCAAGAATGAGAGGCTTTCGTTAAATCAAAACGTGGATTTCTCAGTTAATGGAAGAAGTTTGCTCCATGGGGACCATCAAGCATGGGAGTGGACCAAGATGGGCTGTGCAGTCTTTGTCCTGGGAGATTCTCAGGATTCAACGTAACAAAACCCTGAGTGTGGTTGAATTTGTTGTTGACTTTGCTTTGAGCAGGAGGTTGGACTAGAGTCCCCTTGAGGGCACCTCCACTCTTCAGTGTTTTGGGATTAGATCAAATGGGCTGAGTAGGTTATGTGGCGTGGTATGTGTACATAGTACCAGGCTGAAATCATTTCCTGTCAAATGGACCAAATACTGAAACGGTTTTAACATTTTACATGCTGTGGTCCTTTTCAGCAGGATTTTGAGTTGTGTACTCCAAGTAGATTTTTTTAAAGCTTGGTTTCTATAAACTTCAGGAATCCCTATTTCACAATAGGAGTATGCATGGCAAGAAGGAGGTTTTTGGTTAAGGCTAGTTTTCACTAAAGGGTAGTATAAAGTGTGTGGCAGGGAGTTACTTCATATTTTCTGCAATACAGATGTTTTCACACTGAAATTCACATGGTATACTTCAGTGTGTTTTAAATCTTAACTGTTAACATGTCAATCCATACTATTAGCTTAGACTTATTAACACGGTAAATCTTGATAAGTCTACATTCCTTTTAATATTTAACCCTTGTAGTTGTTTTTCAGTATATTCATGTTATTGATTGAGTCATAACCAGACTTGTTTGCATGCTTACGTAAAGCAGTTAGTGCAGGAAGAGTTGATATTATGCAGTAATATCAGGTAAATGTGATGTTGATGAAGTAGTTAATGTAATCGTTTTTTCCGAACTTTTTTATTGAAGCACAAATTGAAGTATGATTGTGTTTCTCCGTATCGAGAACATGGCTAGGTAGGAAGTGGACTAATTAGTTCAGAATAATGGTGTGAAGTGTGTTGGTGCCAAAGTAGAAATGAAGGAGCAAACAAGCTAAAGGCTGTTTTGTAGATGCAAGCATTGTTTTAGAATGGTAAGAGAGGTGCCGTAAGTTCATAACTGTTATGTGATTTAAGTTTTATAAAAATACAAAAAGTTTACAAAAATGTATATAAAAATGTAAATTAAAAAATGTACAGAAAAAATTTAAAACAAAAAATGAGCAGAAAATACTGTATTTTTTTACATTGTATGTAACTTTTTGTAGGTATGTTGCATGTAGATAGTAATTTATTGTGTACTCTGTATGATATAAATACTGTACATCTGAAGACGTCTTACTGCAAGCTGCTGCGCCTGGACGCTCAGTTCTGAAATGGAGTACTTTGGTTGCAGGTAACAAACCTACTCAGTCTTGTTTCAGTTGAGAACAAAAATAAACCAAGTGCTGTGTTTGTTAACTGATGTGAGTTAATGATTGGTTACTTGAAGCTTTTGCCTTGCCTTTTTTTTTTTGGCTGTATAGCTTATATGGTACTGCAGCTGTGTTCCAGGTTCCCCAGAATTTCTAGTAATCAGTTTGCAAGGAAAAAAAAAAAAGACTTCTGTGTCGGTTGCTACTGGATGTGAATCTCTTCTCAGCTTTGTTCCTGTCAGTTTCAGAAGCTAATGTGAGGTATCAGCTGCTAATCACCCAGCTGTAGCTGGGCTCTGTTGTGCTGGGCTGAGTGTTGAATGGTGCATTTGTACATCTGGCAAATGGGAGCTCCTGCTAGTGGTTAAGTTTGGGGTCATTACAGGCTAAGTGTTCTGGGGTTTGCTGGGTTTGGGGCTGATGCTGTTCCCAGTCTTCGAAGTAAAATCTGGTCTCGGGATTTGTCTGCATCTTGGCAATCCGAAACAATTACAGTAACTGCTCAAACGCAAACCTGAGCTAGTTTCCTTCTTGTGTCATCCTGCCTGTGTCTTGCCAGTGTATTTCCAAGTCATGCTTATGTTGTAAAAATTAAGGAGTAAGGGGACTGTAACTGGTTCTTGCCAGAAAGATCTTCTGAGCTCTAGAAGAGGGAGCTCGGACCTGCTGAGATGGCTGTAAGGATCATCATAGACCTATTGCACTTTGTAGCTCGATACAGATCTGCCCTCTTTCTGTCGTGTTTTTTTTTTCTTGTGCAAGGGATGGAGTGAGAGAAATGACAAAGGTGCTTCCTCTGCCAGGTCAGCCTGTCTTCCAGCTCTGGCCACTACTGCTGCGAAGGGAAGTCCTGCCTCGGATGTTCAAACATGGGGACAGTGTGTGTATGCTGGGCCTTGGAAAGAAAAGGGTGCTGTGAGGCTGACAGTGGGTGCTGTCACTCATTGGCAGGGAGCATGTGTAGGAAGAATAGGGTCACTGCTGCTGTTAAAATAATCCTCTTGAGTGTAATAACATTCAGTTTTTCTTTATGGCCTTCATAGCTACTTTTTTTAAATACAGGAACATGCTACAAGGCTTCTGACTTCCCACATGCAACAGATGAGGGATGGACACTTGATATTACTAACAGTTCTGTATGAAGTTCCCTTCTGTCTAATAACTCACATGTACCACCAAGTCAGTTACATAAAGGAACAGTTCGTCTTCGAAATGCATGCTGTAATGTTTTAAGAGCAATGGCTTCCTTGCTGTCTGTTGTGACCGCTTTGAACATGAAAGCTGCTGCAGCAAAGGTGTTGAGCTTCTACTTCAAAGGTGCTCACTCGGGTCGCTTCAGTACAGCAACCACCTCGCTCAGGAGTCAATGGATGATGCGTGTGCTGCGTAGGTGGGCTGTTAGGAAGGTAGGAAGCCATGGGCAATGTCCCCGGGTTTACTAACAGCTTGTGAGATTAATCTGTTTAATAAAGCTTGAGGTGTACCATTCAGCCCCTTTCAAGTTTGTCCCAGCATGAAAAGACGTTTGCTTGCAAGAACGTTGTTCAGGCTTACTTCTGTGGTTTGATAATTTAGGCTCGACTTTGATTTTGCCGGGTCAGATAGCTGGGTATCCCTCAAAGGAGGTTTGCCTGGCTTTGTTCAAAGAATGCGGCTTTTGGTGGTTGGCTTGTTTTTAATAGCAGAGGTGTGCATGGTTTTTAAATGCTGTTTCGGGCTTTCTTATACCACGAGGTGAAACTTCGAACGCTTGCAGTCTCAAGAGTTTAAATATGTGCTCATTTTCATAACTGCCTTGTCAGTAAGACTGGTTTGGGTGGAGGCTGAGGGGGCTGAAAGGGAATGTTTTTGTGGGGGAGACATCTCCTGAGAGAGCTCCTGGCTGTATGGTTTCTGTATGAGCTCTGGGGTGTCACTCCCTGTGTTTTTCTGAGATAGCGTGTTGCCTAACCTATGTAAAAGTGTAGCGCTGATGGTTCACATGGGTCTAGATGAGCCCTGGTTTCTAAGAGGATCTTGAGATGTTATCATACTGCTCACCTGCTCTCCTGTGGCTGAACTGGGCTGCAAAGGATCAGCAGCGGAACCACTTTTGTTGCTAGTGAATTGTCATTCTGTAATTAAATCATGATGATGGCCTTTTAAGTGTGAAACTTGACTTCTCTGCCACTTGGTTACATAACAAGTGACATGAAGCAATAAAATATTTCAGCATAAATCCATCCGTGTGTCCAGGCCCTGGTCTTTAACAGCTCCTTTTTTTTTTTCTGGTGGAATAAGTAATATGTTTCTGTTGGTCAGTGCTTAGACCAGGCTCTGCGCTTGACTGTAGTGTGAAAGGTTGAACCACACAAATGGTCAAATGGTTGATCTAAAGGACGGCACTGCTTCACAATCTCATACCGTTTTTTTTGCTTGCTTGTGAAGGGGCTGGACTAATATGTGAAGGCCTTATTCTTGTGATACCAGTCAGCTATCAGGGCTTTGAAGCTCAGCAAAATGTGAATCAGTAGATACTGGGGCAAGACCAGAAATCAGCTTCTGCAGTTTCCAGTTCAATGTAGGTTGTGTAGGGCCTTTAACAAAGGACAGTTATCTGTTTCCATTTCCAAACAACTTCTAACTCACAGCTGCTGTCTTGATCTCCCTAAAAACTTGGGGTATGTGAAACACATGACTTGCAAGAGATTTTAAGGATGTACTCCAGGGACCTGTAAAGCATGCTTTGCTAGCATACGTGCTCGGAGAGCAAAATCTGTTTTGCTGTGCACAAGTTGGTGGATATGTTTGCACGTGAGCAGCAGTTCCACCATCACTGGGGAGGGACTGGGCAGGAGAGAGAAATAGGAATGGATGTGTAAGTACAGCCAAGCAAAGCCCGTGCTGGGTGTTCTTGTTTAACTGAACTGCAAACAGCAAAAGGCATCGTTTTGACTTCAGGTCTCATCTCTCAGGTTTTGAGTTGGTGCTCTGAATTTATGTTGTGTAAAAGCTTTTCTGGAAAAGAGTCAGAATATAGATGAGATAACGTCTAACATATGTGCTGACAAAACTGCCATTACTAACTAGCTTTTTCACAAAACGGCCACTGTTTTTGCTCAAGCGGAGTGCCAGGTAGTTTAAACCGAGAGTAGTTAGTGGTGGAGATAAGCATGGAAGTCATCAGTTGGGACAGCTGAGAGAAACTGTGTATAATAATAAAATGTCATAGACTAGAAGATGTTAGCCAGCTCTGACTATGGTCTCTGCCGACTACGCATCATATGAGCAGACAGTCAGTATTATTTTACAATACATGTTGCAACTGTGGTGTGTCACATTGCCTTACTTCATGGCTTAAACGTGTAAGTGTCTGGTGTAGTGCATATACTAAAAGGAGAAAGTTGCCATAACAACTGAATGAAATCAATTAGAGTAATAAGCAATTAAAATCTCATCCTTAGTGTTGCATAAACATAGCATTTTGCTCATGAATTATTAGTAATCATGCCTCTAGACCTGTATGTTCTGTTCCTGATTTGCAGTCTCAACAATTTTTGAATTAATGAAGCATTTAATTTCTCCTTCAAAGAGTGCTGGTGGGGTTTTTTTTTGGCTGCGGCAAGTACGTCTTCATCAGAGAGACGTGGATGCTATTAAAACATCTAAATGAAGGAAGCATTCCTGATGGGATTTCCAGAGCACTCGGCGCTGGCTTCATTCCCACCCAGTGAAGGCAATGGGAGAACTAGCCTATGGTGAGAAATTTTGTCCTGGACCTAGAAAGGCAAATGCAACTCCTTCCTCTGTCACACGCTTTCTCCTTGACCTTCTGTGTATTTCTGAACCTCTCGCTTCCTTTGTTCCCCCTCAAGTATAACAAAGATAGGAATGGCTCCTTACTGTAGTTCTCAGCTGTCCAGGATAAATCAGCTGAAAACGGAGAATGACATAGCTGTTGTGGAAAAGCGGGATGCGTAACGGCCCGTGAGAAAACAGGGCTTGCAGGCTTTGGTGGGAATGGAGCTAGGACACCTGTTTCTTCCCAGCGGGGCATTTCCTATAAAAAGATGTGCCCGGACAGGGATTCGGGCTCAAATGTAACATCGCCTTTGCTAGCATGGTGGGACCAGCTTTATGACCGGTTGATGACATCCCCCGTCTGCCCCAGTTGCTGTGGGAGGAGGTATTCAGCATTTTCCAAGTACAGATGCCCTCTGTTTGCTGGGAATGCCCTGTGCTGTGCCTCGAAGGGTCCCGTTTCTCTAACAGCCTCCTGCGTGCACCTAGAGCTTTGCCCACTGTGTGTTACACGTGGGTACGTGGACCGAGCTGAAAAGAGTCGCAGTCGTGCAAGTTAGGCAAGGGTGGAAATGCAACATCTCTGTTTACTTTGCGAGGGCCTGTATGCTTGTTCTCTGAGGATTTCATGTAGCTGTGGGTGAAATGTTTCAAAGGTTAGAGTTGAATTTATAATCCCAAGTCTCCAAGGAACTTGGGAAAACATTGGTGTGGTCTAAATAGCAGTCTTCTGTACAGTGACTGAGCCAGGGATCTGGGAAGTCTCTTTCATCGGTAGCTCAATTATTAACTGTTAAGAAGCAAAAGGACTCGGCGTGATCCCTGGTTTTGGCTTGCTGTCCTGCCAATATTACAAAGGCCAGTAGCCTAATGGTTTGTGCCGCGGATGATCAGCCCCTCGGTGCGGTTTACATGCCAGCTCCTTGCCCAAGACATTGGCACGGTGTCAGAGAAATAGGAGGGGAAAGCTGTTCTGTGACGCAGAGCAAAGTAGCGTGCTCCTTCCTTGCTGCGTCAGGAGAGTGAAGGGACGCTGCAGGTCCCAGCCGATGCTCCCATGGCAGCTGCCTGCTGTCCCTCACTCAAACCGTGCTATAAGCAGCAATTTTGGTGTGTTGCTCATGAGGCCGAGACGTCCCCTTCTTGGAATGCCACTTACCAAATTCAGCAGCGCTGTCTTACCAGAGGCACTATCCAGCGCATCCAGAGCTCGTCTGTGTGATGCCTTTTGCTTTTCTAAGCTTTTGTTGTTCCATTAAATGTAAT